TACTAAATGCCATGCATTTGCATCTGTGGAGTTCCTTGTGGTTTCTCGTAGTGTGAAGCTGATATTGGCAGGGCATACAGCAAGGAATACTGGTGGAAATGCCCCCCACCCCCACCCCACCGCAAGGTCTGAAAGTCACTGGGAAGCTGAACTTTTTTAGGATCTTACATTGGCCAAGATACCTAGGCTCAGAGTTACTCTTTAATAATACTCATGCATGTCTTCAAAAATCCCTGGAAAGCTGGGTTTGGTTCGGTTTTGGTGTTTTCTGTTCTGGTGACTTCTAAGTGGATTGCTTCACTGGGGTTAGAACACAATCCTGTATTAGCTGAGTCAAGCCATTTATCTTTAAAGAGAAAGGATGCTGACTCAGACGTAATGAGGTTGGCCTATTTTAACTGCAGGCATTAGGTAATATTGCTTGTTTGTTGTTAATAAAACATGCTTGAAAGGAAAAGAATCAAGGCATTCAGTAGATTGAATTCTCCTATCAATTACCCTCAGAAGGTTTTGGGTTTTTTTTCTTTTTTTAAAGAATTCAAGCCAATATTCCAGTAACTGTGATGCATATAAACCAACATATAACCTGAAACTCACGGTAGCAGCAGTCGAGATCAAATGATTTGTTGCATTGGGTAAATCCTGCTGCACCTCTTTTTTTTCTTTGTGTGTGTGTGATCCAAGTGCGTTTTTATAAAGGATAGAAGGAGTTTCAGGTTTTACACAGGCCCCCTCAGGGCACTTCATGCCCACAGTTGGAAATGGAAGGCCAGAGAAACCCACAGCCCGGCCGAGGAGCAACTGAAAAAGAAGTCGGTGGTCTCGAAGTTTCTGGCTTTTCAGGGCCCTCCGCTGGGAGGTGTGGTCGGCGGTCCTAGTTGACCCCATTCGCTGAATCGGCTCAATTAAGCCCACCTGGTCTAGATTGGGCCAATCCAGGTGTACCGCCCACCTAGTTGTATCACCCCTTCCTGGCTCAGAGCCTGAATTTGGAGCATTCCCAGTAGACAACCTGATCCCTGTCTGGCTACCTAACAGTATCCATGCCCAAGATAGAATTATCCTTCCCATAAATCTTATACAGTGCATTTTTGCTGAGATATTTTAAAGTATTGAAAAGTATGGATGTCACTTTGAGGATTTCGGTACACTTGATCCAAGCCATTGTATTTTCAATTACCTCATACACCTGTGAAAATTGGACATTGAATGAGGAAGATGTAAGAAAATGAGATGCATTTATATTATGGTGCTGGTGAAGAATACTGAAAGTACCATGGACTGCCAAAACCCAAACATCAGTCTTGGAAGAAGTGCAGCCACAGTGCTCCTTAGAAGAAGGGATGGGGAGACTTCGTCTTACATATTTTGGACACATAGCCAGGAGAGACCAGTCCCTGGAGAAAGACATCATGCTTTGTAAAGCAGCGGGGCGGCAAAAAAGAGGAAGCCCTTCGACAAGATGGATTGATACCATGACTGCAACAGTGGGCTCAAACACAGGACCAATTATGATGACAGGGCGGGACCTGGCAGCTTTCTTCTGTCACGCATAGGGTGGCCATGGGTCAGAGCCACTCAACGGCATCTAGCAGCGATGATATTCTGAAGTCTTAAGCATCATTAGCCGAAAAGAGTGTGTACCTCAATGAAGACAAAAATATATATGCCATTTCTAACTTAGAGTAACCTTTCCCTCAACAAACCTCAAAGTAATATAATTTAATTACATAGCTTTTTTTTTTTTGGCAAGACGGCATGTTTGACTTTTAGGAAATGGGGCATCCCAGGGTTCGAGACATGTGTTGGAGTGCTAGGAAAACCCCTTTTCATCTTGGACTTCTCCAGACACTCAAACGCAACCTCTTTTCAGAACCTGGTCAGATTTTAGAGATCAGTTTCATGTCTGATGTAGAGATAATTTTTGTATTTATCAAAAACCAAATATCAAGTTCCCTATTTATGTTGAGAAATTCCTGGTGTTGAAAACTGTTAATACCCTGAGTTCTAACCACAAAGTTGATGATTTGAGTCCCCCAAATCCTCCTAATGGTGCTTTGAGCCCCCCTGGTAGTGAGCTATACATTGGACTGCTAACCACGGGGTCAGCAGTTCGAATCCGCCAAGTACTCTGTGAGAGAAAGGGCTTTCTGCACCTGTAAAGAGTGGCCGTCTCAGGAACTCACAGAGGCAGTTCTACCCTGTCCTACAGGGTGGCTATGAGTGGGCATCGACTTGCTGGCAGCGAGTGAGAGGTGCCTTAGGAGACAAGTTTCCTGATCGACTCTTGAAAAAGCAGCCGTTGGAAACGATGGCGGAGTTGTGCTCTAGTGTCACACACAGAGGCGGCCCCATGGGTCAGCATTCACTCAGGGGCAACTGGTCTGCTCCTCCTCAGGATCATTATTTATGCTGAGTCATGACGGGCCTTTGGGACATCACAGATCAATGAAAGAAGATCTTGGTCCTGAACATGAGACCAACGGGCACACATGGAATGAGGCTTTCAAGGGGCTCGCTCCAGTCACAGAAGTTTACATCTAAGGGGCATACTGACACGAGGGGTCCCAGTTGGGAGCACGAACAAGACTTCAGGAGGAATAGCATCTGGCGGGAACCTTGTCCGGCTCTATGGCCGGTTACACAGGGGGTACCGGGAGCTTGTCATCTTCCAGAACAGCAGGGACGAGTGAGGAGCCCTGGGGACGGACGGCACCGAGGAGGGATGGCGGCGCTCAAAACCAAACCAGCTCACTGCCTCGGAGTCGCCCGGCTCATAGCGACCCTGTCGGCCAGGCAGCACGGTCCCCCGGGATTCTGAGGCCGTAGTGCCGAGAAAGCGCCACGGACCTGCAGGTGGAGGACCCACGAGGGAGACGCCCGGGACACAGGTGGAAGTGACCCTCCAGAGAACATGGCCCAGAGCCCAGGAGGTGCCTGGGGCGCAGCCTTTGGATCAGACGGGAACTGCCACTGGAGTCTCTTCGGATCATCCTTTGGCCCTTCTGCACGAGACAGCTCAATGCACTGTGTCACGTTCGCTCCTTCAGAAGCTCAGGAAAACGCACGGGCAAGGCAAATCATGACTTGTGGCAGCTTTCCGGGCACCTGTGCCGGCGAGGGTGCTACCCTGTTTCCCCGAAAGTAAGACATTCCCCCGAAAATAACACCTACTTACAGTTTTGCCTCTCGCTGAAATATAAGGCATCCCCCTGAAAATAAGACCTGCCCGAAAATAAGGCCCCCCGAAGCTACTGTAACTCTGGACTCTGGACGGTAGCAGCAGGCACCGCTGCACAGCTCACTGTTGGCCGCAGCGCAGCCAGAGCAGACAGGAAGTGCGAGGTCTCTTTTCAATAAACAGTAAATGTGTACCGTATTCTTCTTCATGGAAAAATAAGACATCTCCTGAAAATAAGACCTAGTGCATCTTTGGGAGCAAAAATTAATATAAGACACTGTCTTATTTTCGGGGAAACAGAGTAGGAGCCCAGGTGCTGCAGTGGTTAAAGCACTTGCTCAAGAAATGGACAGACGAGTTCCGCACAGATAAAAGCTTTGGAAACGCCAGGGGGCAGTTCTGCTGGGCCCGGTGGACCCCGTCTTGTAGGCTAGCTCTGAGTCTGAAAGGACTCCGTAGACGGCTTTTGGTGTGTTCTGTTTGTGAGTCTTTCCAGATTGGTAAACAGTGGCAGTTCCGTGGTTGACATGGCTGCCCCAGTGCTGCACTTGGCACAGAGGGTGACCAGTCCCCTCTGGGGGAGCGAACAGAACCCACCAAGCAGACACACAGACCTTGAGCAAGCCCACAGGGCCACCTTTATGAGGGAGCATAAAGCTCTAAAACACACACGCACACACACACCAAACAAAACCTGGTCCCCCAAACTAATTTTGAATGTTTGCCTTAATTTCAACCAGCCAAATCTTGGAAGGATTTGAATTTTACTTTCTTTCTCTCTGTTTGGGGGAGATGCCTCTGGAGAGCAACCAGGACAAGAGACATGGATGGGGTGGGGTGGGGAGTGGCTGAGTTGCCACATCGGGTGCAGTCTGTGCCTGATGCCCCCAGCCTATAATATAAAGGGCTGTTGCCTGAAAACTCTCCTTATGCTTTAAATAGTCCCCTGCATTGAAGCAGGTGGTATCCACTGACAGCAATCTTGGGCAGGGAGCTTGTTTACCCACCAGGCAAGTCAACAAAACTGTAGGAGGCGCTTGCCAGTGATTATGCTTGTTGTAGCCATTGTCCAGGCACTAAACCAGCAGATCCCTTTATCCCCAAACTTGAATTTAATAGTTTGTCTCTCCTGATACCTTGATTTGCTACAAATTACATTGCCTTGTCAAACAACCCTTCAATAATAACAATCAATGCAGAGAAAATTCCAGAAGTAACAAGATCAAACAAAGAAGCAGAAGAAAGCACTTTCTGGGTGCATTAGAATGGGTGGCTGCTCACTCCAAATAGGTGCCTGTTTACATCCCCGCCCCCGGCCCCCAAAACGTATGGCTGCCCTTCAGTACCCTTTCCAGTAGTAAATTTCCATACCCCAGTTCTTCCAGGAATTTTTGGGCTCAGCCGACTTTACAACTCATATTATTAAAGGCAAATCCATTATTTCTGTGTCGCCTGATTGAAACGTTCTTTTCCATGAGCTGCCAAAGAGTTTATGGTTTTCTTAATACGACTATTAAAGTTGGTAAATTACAGGGACCCACACATTTTAGAAGACAACGTTTGCAAGAGGGTCACATTTAAGCCAGAGAACTGACGCGTGATGAGCCAACTACGATGAAAGCGAAATCCCCTTCCCTACCCTTCCTCTCCCCACCCCACCCCACCCCACCCCACCCAAGTTCTCATTTTTGCCTTTTCGTTCACAGAAAGGATAAGATTTTCTGGATGTTCCCCTCCCAGCAGAGTTCTATAGCCTCAGGTCCGAAACATGCCTACATCATCTTCCTTCCCAGGAGTGGAAAACCAGGAGGCAGCTTACCCTGGTCGGTGTGGGCGCGCCGGAGGACCAGAGCAAAGAGGAGAGCGGTGTGGGGAGCCTTCATGTCAGCCCGCCTCGGCTCGCTCATGAAGCTGCGCTGGGTTTCAGCCTCCCTGAAACGTGAACATTTCCTGTTTCCTGCTTGTTTGGGTCGGTGCTAACTTGAAGGAGAGGTGTTCGCCTGTGTTTTAGGAAGTGATGTAATTCTGCAGGAGCCTGTCAGACCAGCAAGGATTGCAAAAGAGCAGCTGTTCTTCAAGCACTGCTTCAGGGAGCAGGCCTCCTTGCAATGTCCCGGCCCTGCCTCGGGCCTCCCCCTTCTGAATCGGCCGCAGTAGAGTCTGTGGCTCAGATGTTTTTTGGCATCTGCAACTGGGGGTCCTGGACCACACACATTCTCCCCGTCTAAGTTTGCTCATCTCCCATGAGCCCCTGGGTCTGCCTTGGCATCCAGAGCAGCCTCAGAGTGGTGTAAATGTCATTTAAGCTGGAAAGTTTGCTGGTTCCAAAACTCATGCAAAGTCACCTCAGACAAGAGGCCTGGGGGTCAGCTTCCAAAAGGGCATAGCCTTAAAAACCTGCTGGCACAATTCTTGTTCATTGACTCAGCGACCATGAGCAGCAACAGGAGCCTAGGGCAGCACTGTCCCTGGAACTTTCTGTCACAAGAAACATGCCCCAAATCTGTCCAATAAAGCACGGTAGGCACTAGCCACACAAACAATTAAACCCCTGCAAGGTGGTTAGTGTAACTGAGGAAATGACTTTCACATTTTATTTAATTAAATCAGAGACTCACTGAAAAACTCCCTGCCAATTCGGACTCATAGCAACCCTATCAGACAGGAGAAAATGCCCCGGTGGGTTTCTAAGATTGTAACTCTTTAGGAGTAGAAAGTCTCGTCTTTCTCTTGTGGAGCACTTGGTGTGTTGGAACTGTGGACCTTCTGGTTGGCAGCCTCACACCTTATCACTATGCCACCGGAGCTTTCAATTAGATACGAGTTTAATTATATAATAAAGTTATTTATTAAATAACTCCATGTAGATAGGGTGGCCATATTGGACAATTCGGGCCCAGACAACAGGTATGGCTGTACTATCAAAAAACAGTCAATGTTTTTCGCTGTCCAGTGCTCTCCTCCTTTGCCTTTGAATGCTCCTCGGGGCTCTGAATGCTCCTCAGGGCTTTGAATGCTCCTCAGGGCTCAGGCAGAGGGAGAAGACTGCGATTTCCATTGTCTGAAGGTGGTACTCTGCTTCCCACTGAGTAATGATCTATAAAGAGTCCTTGAAAGTCCCTGGGTGGTGACAGCTCAGGGGCATGACTCCTAACTGAAAGGGTGGACATTTGAGTGCTTCCAAAGCACTTCCAAAGTGCTTTGGAAGAAAGGCTTGGCTATCTACTAAAAAAAAAAAAGTACAATAAATCAGCTATTGAGACCACACGGTTGTTGCCTGAATCAAATTGATTTATGGCAACCAGATTGGGTTTGGGAATTATTTGTTGGGTGTGTGTTTCGGTGGGGGCAGGGGACACACACACATACCCTCACTACATTTTACCTTTCTTCTCATATGAAAATCCATTTCTCAAAAGCTCTTAACATGCAGAATGGGAGTGAATTGGGTTAGAATGGGGTGGGAAATCCTACCCCAATTGAAACCATGTAGGAAGGAGGCGTCTGTACTTGGAACACTATTCAGGGGAGATGAGACTGCGTTAGGTCTTTGTTTGCTAACTGAAGTCTTTCCCTTGGTTCACATTTTCAGAGAGGGGACACAGAACGCAAGTTTGGAATCCCCCGTAAGACACCAGGAGATTGGGGGCAGAGACCCATCTTATCTCTCAACCTCTGTCTGTGGATTGTCATCTGAGTCACTACTTTCCAGTTTGTCCCCAGCCATCTCGGCTCCATGTAAACTCACGAGATGCCTGGGATTCCTTAGTCTCTACCACAGCTATTCATTTGCTTTTGTGCTGCGTTGCTGCTTTGCAATGTCATCGACAAGGGTTATCTCGGCTCCTATCACAAGAAGTATGCTGGAGATCCATGCAATGCTCAGTCTGTTGGGGGGCTCAGTGTACGCATCTCCATGTCTTGAACTGGCAAGTAAAGGAAGTCCTGATAAAATATGCTTTGCATTTTCGGTGACAATACAGAACAAATAATCGAAAAAACATAGCTGCACGGCAGACTGGATGATGGATGGGAAAAACAACGGGGAAGCGCCGTTAGTCAAACTCGTGCTGAGCTTGTGAATAGATCATTGGCTGCCAGACCCTCTAGTGCTATTGAGTTGGCAATTATTTCTCTACCAACACGTGTTTCTCCAGCTGTGACCCACGTGTGTGAGAAGACCCCGGGCTCAGGAGAGCGCTTCATCTTTCCACTTGCCCCTTATTAAAACCACAGTTGGAAAGGGGGAACTGATCCCCAGGATCTACATATAACCCCCTCCCTGGGGGACGGACAGCAGAAGGGGGTGAAGGGAGACATCAGACAGTTTAAGACTGACAAGATAATCATTGAGAAATTAACAAGGATTTGTGAGGGAGTGGGGCGGGGAGGGAGGGGGGAAATGAGGAGCTGATACCAAGGGCTCAAGGAGAAAGCAAATGTTTTGTGTGTCTGTGTGTGTGTGTGCCAATAAAACTTTATCTACAAAACAAAGATCTCACAGTATAAAATATGTAAAGATACACATACACTGAGGGCTTCAAAAAGTTTGTGGACAAATGGAATTTTTAAAAAAGACAATGGAATCTTTTCACAAACTTTTTAAAACCCTGTCTGGGTGTATATGTTTATGACCTCAATCAAGAAAAAGACATCACCAGTAACCGGAAAGGCTCCAGGCCCTCTCTTCTCGTTACTTCCTGCCCCACTAAGGATAACCACTATCCAAATTTGCAACAGCATAGTTTGGGCTATTTTTATACTTTCATGAATGGAATTATATATTATGTACTCTTTTGCGCATGACTTGAAATTAAAGTTTTGTTGTTGTTTACATAATGAACAATAACCTGGATTTGGCCCGAACTGTTAGCTAAAAATCTAAACATTATCTTAGAATTCTTAATGCTGTCTAAATTACTCAAAATTAGACAAATATTTGTTTTGTTTATTTCTTATTAAATATTTTTATTGGGGGCGCTTACATCTCTTATCACAATCCGTACATTCATCCATTGTGTCAAGCACATTTGTATATATGTTGCCATCATCATTTTCTTTGTTTTATTTTTATATATATATAAGTCGTTTTATTGCGGTCTCTTACAGCTCTTGTAATAATCCATACATCAGTTGTTTCAAGCACATTTGTACATTTGTTGCCATCATCATTTTCTTTTTCTCTTTAATCATTTTATTAGGGGCTCATACAACTCTTATCACAATCCATACATATATCAATTGTATAAAGCACATTTGTACATTCATTGCCCTTGTCATTCTCAAAACATTTCCTCTCTCCTTAAGCCCCTGGCATCAGCTCCTCATTTTTTCCCCTCCTTCCCTGTTCCCCACTCCCTCATGAACCCTTGATAACTTATAAATTATTATTTTTCATATCTTGCTCTGTCCGGCGTCTCCCTTCACCCACTTTTCTGTTGTCTGTGCCCCAGGGAGGAGGTCACATGTAGATCCTTGTCATCGGTTCCCCCTTTCCACCCCATCCTCCCTCCAGGTTCCCGGTATCGCCACCCTCACCACTGGTCCTGAAGGGATCATCTGCCCTGTATTCCCTGTGTTTCCAGTTCCTATCTGTACCAGTGTACATCCTCTGGTCTAGCCAGATTTGTTAGGTAGAATTGGGATCATGATAGGGGTGGGGGCAGGAAGCATTTAGGAACTAGAGGAGAGTTGTATGTTTCATTGTTGCTACACTGCACCCTGACTGGCTCATCTCTTCCCTGCAACCCTGGGGATGTCTAATTGCCTACAGATGGGCTTTGGGTCTCCACCCCACACTCCCCCTCATTCACAATGATATGATTTTTTGTTCTGATGATGCCTGATACCTGATCCCATCAACACCTCGTGATCACACAGGCTGGTGTGCTTCTTCCATGTGGGCTTTGTTGCTTTGAGCTAGATGGCCACTTGATTACCTTCAAGCCTTTAAGACCCCAGACGCTATATCTTTTGACAGCCGGGCACCATCAGCCTTCTTCACCACATTTACTTACGCACCTGCTTGGTCTTTGTGATTGTGTCGGGAAGGTGAGCATCATGGAATGAAAGCAAATGTTTTGAGAATGATGATGGCAACAAATGTACACATGTGCTTGACACAATGGATGGATTGTGATGAGTTGTATGAGCCCCAATAAAATGATTTAAAAAAATAATAATACAATAAAACCACAGTTGAATCCCAGAATTGGGGCATGTGTTCAGCGAGGGCATGATTGACAGCAATGGCTTCTTCTTTTTTTTTTTTTTTCATGTTTTTTAATCGTTTTATTAGGGGCTCATACAATTCTTATCACAATCCATACATACATCAATAGTGTAAAGCACATTTGTACATGCATTGCCCTCGTCATTCTCAGACAGCAATGGCTTCTTACATCGGAAACTACAGCTCACCACGGAGAGAGTAAAGCTCAAGAACCCACCTCAAAACCCAAACACGAACCAGCTGCTGGCCAGCAGATTCTGCCTTGAGGCGTCCCCAGGTGGGTGGAGTGGTGCGCCAGAGTGGTGGCACTGTGGATTAAGCATTGGGCTGCTAACCTCAAGGTCGGCGGTTCAAACCCACCAGTCGTTCTGCAGAACGATGAAGCTGTTTGTTCTGCTGTGCCCTATAGGGTCACTGAGTCGGCTGAGACTGCACGGCAGGAGGCTTGGATTTGTGTTGTTATTGTGTCTTCCAGGGTGTGACCTTTTGTGAGCAGATCACCAGGCCTTTATTCTGGGGTCACTTGGAGTGTGATTAAACCCAAACTAAACTCACGGTGATAGAGCTGGTCTGACTCAGAGCCTCCCTGTAGGATAGGCTGGAACTGCCACTGTGGGTTTCTGAGAGTGTAGAGTCCTGTCTTTCTCCCGA